CTGCCTCAACACACAGCACTGTCAGTGACTGCTGCAAAGGGTTGGCCTCAGCAACACCATGTTGTGTGTTCAGCAAGAAAGGATGGATGGTTTGACTGCTTCCTACATGACATCTTCAGACATTTCAGGTATGTAAATAAGTTGTTCTGCTGCTGAGCAGCTCATTCACATACCTCACACCCTTCTCAACGTTTCCAAGGGTCTAAATCCTGCTATCTTACATCAGTAAAATTTCCAGTGGCCTCAATAGGAAATATCTGAGCTACAACATCATGAACCGAGTCCACTACCTCCATTTAAAGGATTGAGAACTATCCCTGGCAGAATATGGTACTTCAGCGAATGTACAAGTGTGTCTGAAGCCAAGTATAGGATCCATGCTCACTGGCTTTCATACACCCTCCAAAATGATGTTACTGCCCTTTCCTGAAGAACCCATTGCAGTTGTGTGGCAGAGACAGTGTTTCTCTAGGTGGCAAATTAAGACAAATTTTGATTTAATCCATGATCCAACAAGTTAAATTCAGTCCTCTCTGCATGGCAGATATGGCAATGCATTCAACACTCACCAAGTGCTGCTGTCAGTACATGTTAAGTAATGGACGCTACTATCTGTATTCATTAGATTATTAGAAACGTCTGTGTTGCTTCCTGTAAGCATGAAACAGTCAAATTCCAAAATACACTAGGGGGCACAGATACAGATTTACAGTAATACAAGTCAATAACTTAGAGACAATCTAACACTTCAAAGTTGTACCTGCAAAAAATGACATACAGGCTTTAAAGGAACCTTTTTTGGAGCAGGAGAGTAGGTATCAAAAGGTAACTTGTTACATAGGCCAGCATGAAAAATGTCCTAAAAACGTAGCCAACCTAAATTTTCTCTATCACACCATGTTGTTGCTTCTGTACTTCATAGAATCATCGAATAGTTAGGGTTGGAAAGGACCTTAAAATCATTCAACCCCGCTGCCATGGGCAGGGACACCTCACACTAGACCATGTCACCCAAGGCTCTGTCCAACCTGGCCTTGAACACTGCCAGGGATGGAGCATTCACAGCCTCCCTGGGCAACCCATTCCAGTGCCTCACCATCCTAACAGGAAAGAACTTCCTCCTTATATCCAATCTAAACTTCCCCTGTTTAAATTACCCCTTGTCCTATCACTACAGTCCCTAATGAAGAGTCCCTCCCCAACATCCCTATAGTCCCCCTTCAGATACTGGAAGCTGTTCTGAGGTCTCCACGCAGTCTTCTCTTCTTCAGGCTGAACAGCCCCAACTTTCTCAGCCTACAGTAGGTGCTCCAGTCCCTGATCGTTCTCGTAGCCCTCCCCTGGGCTTGTTCCAACAGTTCAGTCACCAGTGAGGTGTGTGGACTGTAAATCCTACATTTTAGAGTCCCACTTACCTGTACACATAGAAACAGCAGTGGGAGAGGAAAAACACTGTCTTCTCTCATCACTACCTAAGAAAAAAGACAGGCAACATACTGTTGTTAAATGTATTCTGAAACGACCAACGTGGCTGTTTCTAAAACAGGTAAGAAAAGAAGCAGTTTGGTTCAGAGACAAAATTAATGTGACCTTCCAAAAAAGAACTGACACTTTACAGATGGGAGATCAAATACAATTTAGCATTAAGAATTTAAGGGGTGATATAGGGAAGCCATTCTCTAGGCCAGCAGTGCCAGAGGCCTGCAACCTAATATGACATTTTCTCAGGAGATCTCAAGCTCTCCAGGCTCTCCTTGGCCAACATTAGGGTGGCAAAAGGGTTCTTTATTTAAAGAACTCATGTTCAGCCATAGGAAGAGAGCTGCGCTGCCACGGCACAGTGCCCCCAGACACAAAACTGAGGTCCTGAATAAAGATCCAGCTTATCCCTCTGTAGAAAGAGTTCCCTGGCACACTGCTCCTCACCAGCACCATGCTACCTATGAATGCTTCTACATCTCTGACATGCCTCTTCATCCTCCCTTCAGCTTTCTCACTGGGTAGGGAAATAATGGTAATTCACGCGCAGAAGTGGCTTTAAAAGTAACGGCTGCTGAAGCTACATGGTGTCTAATAAAACAGGCGTTCCCCTGTGAAGGGCTCTGGGGTTTTATTTACCAGATCCAGAATGGGAGGAGAACACATCAATCCCGCTGTTTAATCCCAGGTATCTTGCCTAGCTGGATGGACGCTCCATACTACTGCTTGCAAAGCCACAATTCAGCCTAAATTAAAAGTATACGTTTATTACACAGGCTTTCAAAACATGCTCCAAGGAGCAAGCCCAGCGCCCAGCATGAGCCCCTTCATCAAGATCTCAGGTAAGGAGATGGCGAAGCTCATTTATACAGATCAACATGTCCCCACACCTCAGTGCTCCGGTATCACAGCGCTGCTCCACACAACGGGGCAACCACACCACAGACGCTACTCCAGAGTCAGGTTACTACCGACCTACTGCCGCCTATGGCAGGTAAACCAACATGGACCGCACCACTTCCCTCCTTCCCACCTCCGCCTCATGGCGCTCCTCAACAGCCGCAGCCCTCGAAGGCCCACAGCACCCCGAGCGATGCCCGCGCTCCCCTCACGTCCTGCCCCGGCCCCGCCGCCCTTCCCCGCCAGCGGCTCCCCTCACGCACCCAACATGGCGGCGCGTCCCGCACCTGCCCCGCCTCAGGGCGCCCCGGCGGGCAGCAGCGCAGGGCCGTGCCGAGCCCGCCCCTCCCCGGCCCGGCGGAGCGCAGGGCCCGCCGCGGGGTCGGTAGGGGGCGTGCGGGGGCTCCGATAGGAGCCGGGGCCGGTTCTATTTAGCTGAAGGCCCGCGGGGTGGGGGGAGAAGAGACGAGACCGAGCGGGCGGGCGGTGGCACCGCAGCGGAGCCAGCGGACGGACGGACGGTAACGCGCCGCCGGGAGCAGCGACCGCCGCCGTCCGCGCCGGCCCCGCCGCAGGTAAGGAGCGGGCAGCGCGGGGTGGCTCCGTGCCGCGGTGCCCCGGTTCCTGGGGCGGGTTTGCGGGGCAAAGCAGGTGCCCGGCGAGGTTCTCGCCCTGCGGGGCTCCCCTGGTCCCCCCTTCACTGCATAGGGCGAGCTTGCACACCAGAACGGCTTCGGCACCCGAAAGGTGCGCTGACAGCGCTGAAACAGCGGAGCGGAGCTGAGCCGCCTCGGCCAGGTAGCGGCCGGGCAGGAGCCGGTCCCGGCGGTGAGACCGGTACAAACACCCGCCGTTCACTCGCTTGTCTTTCTTTGCAGGTTCACGATGTTGACAGCTATGTTCTTGGCTGCTCTCATCCTTATTACAGTGCATTCGCAGGAAACGGAGGAAACCATAACGTACACGGTAAGGTGGAACAGAGCTCGAGGTAATTGCTGCTTTGCAGGGATTCTTTGCTAAACGACCCTTAAGCAAAACCAAATTCCTTGCCAATGTATAGCATGCAATATAAAGTTCTTCGGGCTGCGATGTTAACCATAAAATAAGCCGTTCCTGCACCGAAACGGTGTTTTAAAGCTGAAGTTGACAGGATAGAGCGAAAGAGGCTACAACTGCCTGCTCTGAAAGCTTGTCTGTGCACCGAGCTTGATGAACTGAACGTTATGAGGCTTTAATATTTGTTTAATCCACTTTCCTCAAGACAAGGTCCCTATGGACCTGAATTTGAAATGGATGGAATTTGACAGATAATTAGGTCAAACATTCTTTGGTGTTTTCTTTCGGATATTTGAAGCTGCTTTTAACAAAATGTAAGTGCTTCAGAACTCGCTGCTCTCAATGAAGCATCCGAGCCCTGCAGTGACCACAGGACTTAGTTTCTGAGCTGGTTTTGAGCAGTGCTTCTGCATGGCTTGATAGATTTGCACAGGGACACTGGAAATAGGTTTTTCTTGCAACCAAGTGATAGAGTAAGAGGTTTAAAGGGCTTTTTGTAAAGCTTCTTTTGAACTAATTTGCCTGTGTTCTGCCTTCAGCTTGCATAATACATGTCGTAGAAGGAGTGGCAATTACACGGGCTTGGGCTGGGGAAAAACCCACACTTTCACATCTGATTTACAGTTGTAATCCCTGCAACTTGCTTCATATGGGTGGACCTCTGAATATGTGTACAGGCATTAGCGCAATGCCACACAAGCAGAAAATTCTGCACACATGCAGAAAGTCAGAGAACCACAGCCAAAGGCTGAGATTGTGTCTTACACAAGTAATCCCACTGAAGTCAGTGGGATGGCTCAAGCAAGTCAATATTGCAGAGTTGGACTTTAATGTAGAAGATGGGGCTTAAAGAAGCCTCAAGTGAGCATCCAGAAGCCAGCCATAAAACACTTTAACACTGGGCTTTAGAAGCAATAGAGTTTTGGAGGTTGGGAGTACTTCTCTTCAGAGGCTTCTGTGATTATTTTATAAGTCCCTATATATAAGTGGAAACTGCAGATTTGATTACCTTTTGCAAATCCAGCCTAACACAGGGATCCCATCCCCCTGCTTTGGCTCACTTATTACGTGGTCTTTTTACAAAACTAAGTAGCATTTTCTGTTAAATCTACATAGTTCTGTTAATACCAATGGGAAATGTCTGGCATGCTTATAATTTGGGTTCCTCTACTCCATTTTCAAAGAGGTCTTAGCATTTAGGTGCTTCAATGATCATCAGACTCCAACCATATACTACTACTTAAAAAAAACTTAGCCTTTGGACATTTTACTCTTAGGATGCTACTGTTTCTCACATGTGCATTGTATTCATTTAGAGCCAAATCCTTTTTTATCCCTTTCTATCCCTTCAGCTGCAATAATAGATGGATTTGGCTCCTTGCAGTTAAATAGACAGTACTTCTGTTGTGCATTAGCAGGAATTGGGCAATTCAGTAAGTGCATGAATTAGCTGTTTTCCTTTGGGCTTCCATTCTCATAGCTACAGTAACTTTAGTGTTGTCACCTCGGCATGCGGTCATCCCCTTAGAGATGGAGAATTGTGATACAATTTGCTGTGCACTTACCCCTTTGGAAGTAAAAGCCTCCAAAGCTGCAGATCACTGGTGTCACCTGCAAAAGAAGAACATATTTTCAACCCTGTTGCTGAGTCTGTGTCCTTTAGTAACAAGTTCCTCAAAATAACTTGAGGCTAGTGCATGGAACAAGTGGATCTTGGCATTGGAAGAGCAAATTTATCCCTTGTATAGCTCCTCTGCAACAAGATTTAGCTCGCTTGACTGTGACTAATTACATTAGCTGACTGCATTCTTTTTTCTATAGGACCATTAAAGCAATATCCTGAGCAGCACAAGATGAGTATGAACCTACATAGTATGGCTCAGTTGATTCATTGATACAGCAGACACATTTAAAGTAGCCGGTATCATGTTGATACTTAGTTAATCAGTTTCTAAATGTCACTTGTGATTAAAATTGGCTAGAAAATGTAATGGGTTTTGGCAGAGGGATAATGAAGATGCCCACCCAACTGCAGGGCAGAATAGTTAAAATTCTTCCTCAGTGCTCTAGTCTGCATTGATATGAATAGTTACTGAGTATAGTCTTGTTTGAATTTTGCAAAGTCTTATTTATACAAGTAGTCCTGTTATAAACTCTAAGTCCTGTTATAAACTAACCGTTTATTGTATGTCTCCCAATATAAATTGTTCTTCCTCGACTGCAGCTCCTGGAGTCATGTGATTGCAAAGCATGTGAATGAATTTCCAGCTGCCATGGGATCCTTCCCCATTGCTGGAGTGCTAATGGGAAAGGATGGAGCACGGGGGTCTGGTAGTCCCTCTGGTGAACTGGGAATTAGAGCTGTTCACCCATTGGAAGGCAGGGGGGTTGGAACTAGATGATCTTAAGGTCTTTTCCAACCAAATTCAGAAAAACTTGCTTTTTTTTGGATAACATTTTCATACTGCTCAGCTGGATCCAAAGGTTCATCTATTCCAGAATTCAGCCAATTACGCTTTAAAGTAGTACATAGAAAGAAGTCAAGGGGGCAGTGATGCTTTCCCACTTTGTTCCCAGCCCCAGTAAAACCTACCTACTCACCACAAATGATATCTCAGGAACTTCCCAAAATAGAAGCTCTCTCTGTATATATTTGTTGTTCCTGCCCAGCAGTGCTGTACCAATAGCTGTTTTTCTAGCTTACCAAGGTATGCAAACACTGCATTTCCCTTAGTGTCCAACTTGGAGTTTATTGAAGTATGCTTGATTATTTTTCCAAAATAAGGAATCCCAAGTAGCCTAATATTTATTTTTTCTCTCTCTAGCAATGCACAGATGGCTATGAATGGGATCCTGTTAGGCAACGGTGCAAAGGTACAGTAAATAATCCTTAAAGAATACCAATGGCAAGTCTGTCTTTGCAAATTATCACTGCACCCCCCTGTTTCGGACAAGGAGGCGTGCTTGCATGTCTCATTGTGTTCTTTGTGTTAATGGCTCTTGCAGAAGGTTCGCCTGTTAAAAGCATGACTTGTGTTGTTGCTAACCACAGATATTGATGAATGTGAAATAGTCCCAGATGCATGTAAAGGTGGGATGAAATGTGTTAACCACTATGGAGGATACCTCTGTCTACCCAGAACAGCGCAAATTATTGTAAATGAGAGAGAAGAAGCAGCAGCAGAATCCACTAGTGGTCGAAACAACGTCATTCGACGGACCCCAGCTGACCCTCACCGTGCCCCTCCAAACCCAACTCATCAAATCCAGTGTGCAGCTGGGTATGAGCAAAGTGATCACAATGTGTGCCAAGGTAAGCAAGCTGCCCTATGTTTTCTTTTCAGGATGACTGGAGTGTGTGTAATACCAAATGGAATACCTGGAAAACGATAGCCTAGAACTCTTGTATTCACTAGAATGTATTGTGGCACCATCAAACTGGACATGTAGATGCTTAAGATGCATAAATAAAATACATGTATGTTGTTATATTTCAAGGTACTAGAACTTGCAGTTTGTTTCATCTATTTCACAGTATTGAGTAGAATTAGTTCTGTTCTCTGTAGAGCCTCAAAAGGATAACCCCTTAATGCAAGTAAGCAACTCCAGTCAAACACTTTGGGTTGAATTAATTATGTCCAGGAGAGGCAGTGCTTTGGCTAAAGAGGCAGCACAGCAAGTCATGTTCTAGACAATTTGTAAAGACTTGCAAAACTATGTATTTTTTAGTAAATGAATGCTGAATGGAACAAAAAATTACCACTATGTGAGCATTTGCTTAGAGCAGACTGTAATGCAAAAGAACAGAGTGCTTTTACTATGTATGAGGAATATTGCTCAAGTAGTAGGAACCAAATATCTGAACAGCTTGTGCTCTTCTGATCTCTATAGAAGCAGCTCTGTGCAGACCCTGCCAGCTTCCTTCCAGTCATAATCGAGCCAGCCTTTGAAACTATGGCAATGAAGAGCTTTCATCTGCATGTACATACACCACACACAGTGCCAAAATGCTCAGGGTATTAGCAATGTTAATTGTATGCATTCAGGACCCAGCCTCACAAGCACTACTGTAAACTAAGGCAGTTTCATTTATTATTTTATATAAATAGTTTACTCTTCTACTTGCTGAAGTAACAAATGCTTCATCCGCTGTTTTGTTTCCTTTCACAAAAGATAGATTCTACCCCTTGCTCACAAGCTGGGGTTTCAGGCACGTTAGTGGGATACCCGTGCAAACAGAGGGCAAAACGTGACCCCATGGTTCATCTTTTCCACTTTGTGGCCTGTAGCAGTATAATCATATAAAACAGTACTTGAGTGACTATAATCAGGGCAAGCTATAATATACAGTGGTAGTTCCTTTCTCCCTGGTATTCGTGTATACAGAACGTTATTTATCACTAGTAAGTAAATTCCCTGTCATTCTGAAGCACAGTAATCATCATGGAGGCTGGCAAAGTTATTTTTGTAGGCAAAGCCTCAGAGTTGCATTTCTGGCTTATCTGCTAATGTTCAACATTTCCGTCACTCCAATTCAAGAATGTCAAGCCAAGAACCTACCGCAGGAGGTCAGTGCCGTGATCCCCTTAACCCTGAGCGTTCACTTTGGCTTATCAAGGGAAAAAGCAATGCCAAGGATGGCAAATAGGGTTTATTTCCTTACTTTAACATAGTGAAGTAGCAGCAGAACCAGGAACCTGTGTTTGATCTGAAACCTGGGTTTGATCTGGCACTCCCTCCTTCAGGTGATGCTGTTATGGTGGCTGGCACTCATCTTCACTGGTGAATTGCAATACATGCTTCAACTTTAGTATGTAACAACAGCTTTGACTAAAAAATGCCAGTAATGCTAGCAAACATGAACATCACTTTTTCTTCAATGGCTTTAGGTATATAAATTTGGGATAGCATAAGAAAGGTTAACAACATGTAGTACTAATACCTTACATTCCAAATAAAGGTCAAGAGTTAGGGTTAACTCAGATACCAACAACTGGTTGAGGTTTCTGTTTTGTTGGGAAGACTGGTGGTGATACATTACTATTACTTTACTCTATGCTCTGGCTTCCTGAACTTGCAGCTAAATATTTATATCAAATTCACAAATCTTTGGTTAATTCATAACAACAACTCACTGTTGTTATAGTACCAGAACTTTTAAACCCTCAGACACACAAACTATGGTGAAATCTTGGGCTCGAGTGAATCAGAGTTTTGCTACTAATTTCCTCATGCCAAAATTTCAATCTGAATGCAGAAAGCCTGGGAATATTAATGTTTAAAAGTTGAAATGCATTGTACTGAATGAATTCCAGCTGGAAAAAGGGTAGTGGACAGTGTGCTTGAAAGGAAGGATAAAAGACTTTTGGAGCACTTAAAGAGTGCATTCGACTTCATGATCTTCATGCTTTGCACTGCTGAAAATATCTTATAAAAGATAATCTTGATCAGCAATGGTCCCACTGTGGATTTATTTAATTATAGTTAAAAGACTGTGCTATGATAACTGCTTGAGGCTCCTAGGGAGTGTAACTTACACATATAGTCACACTTAAGCTTGTTTTATTGTTTAGTAAATCAAATATGAAGTCCAGCTCCTTCTAATTGTTTGCAGATGTATGACATTTTCCTTCCAGTCCAGCAGCACTAAGTATTTTATAACCAATGTGAAAGTGTGGAGACCTCTGGTTAAAACAATAACATGCTCTGAGGAGCTGTATTACTGACATCATAGGAGAGCATGAGGGGCCTTCTGTTTAATACAGATGTCCACTCCCTTTTTAAGCATCGGATAGGGAGGGTATGGTAGGCCAAACACATGCATGTTGGTTTGGAATAAACATGCATAAATGACACTACTCCTGTTGGGCTTTAGGAGGCTTCAGTGATGTGCTGAGCTCCACTGTTGGGAAAAGCACGGTGCAGCGTGGCCGGATCCTATTTCTATTGACAGGAATGAGAAACATTCAGAGAGGCACATGATTCTCTGCACTTCTTAATCTACCAAAACATGGCCATGTGCCGAAGTTACAAAAGATACTTAATACCTTCTTAACTTCTGACCTGAAGAAAACAAGTGACAACTCTGATACTTATCAGTGTTGAGAGTTTTCTGCCTGCAGTACATGCTGTTATTTATTGGAGACCACACAGCACATGAAAGCCCCATTCAGGTTGGATAGGGCTTGGAGCAACCTGCTCTAGTGGAAGGTGTCCCTGTCCCTGGCAAGGGGTTGGAACTCGATGAGCTTTAAGGTCCCTTCCAACCTAAACCATTCTGTGACTCTGTGAATAGCACAGATGCAGACTGATCACAAAGCACGGTGCCTTGCATAAGACAATTCCATGGAAATTACTTCAGCTTCCTACGATATAAATCAGTTTTACAACTATCAGTGATCAGAAACACATTCTTGTGTAAGTGTGTTGATGGCAGAAGTTTGGGTAGCCAAGATTTCCTGGGAAATTCTTAGGAATACCACATGTGAGCACTAAGTGCCAGGAACCCCCCAAACTGATGAAAAGATGAGGGGAGGTTATTCTGGAGTAAGATCTCTTATGCAGAAAATGTGCAGAGCCCCGAGTCTGAAAACAAAGCTTCAAGTTAAAACACTTTAACTGTATCTTAAATTCCGAGTTTATGACCTTAACTAATCCCCCCTCTCCCCATGGTCAGTTCCCACTTCACTGCCACTTCTCAATTTGCCTTTACCTCTAAAGGGCTGCTGAACTGGTCCTTAAGTTAGAGTCCCACACGTGGCAACTGCCATCACTAGGGAAGCAACTCGAATGTTCTGACCTGTCATTGTGGGAGCATCATTCCCACTGGGAAGAGCAAAAAAACAGACTAAAAAATAGTTTTAAGCAAATTACTGAGTTAGCTAATATTTGCAGCCACTTTTTTGCCTGATAAAAAGTCCAAGAGCTGCACTCTGTTGCCTGCATACAAGGTTGAACTGGAGTTCTAGGGTGTTGTTAGGCTCTCTGTGATTGGAGTCTGCTCCTATTGAAGTCAAATGAAAATCACCCAATTAATTCAATTTTGTCAAATCCAGTCTGCAGGAAACCACTCCTAGAATGTTAACGACACTTGAACGAAAATAAGACCAAGCCAAGGTACCAGATAACCTGTAAACTTGAGGAGGGAAAAGAACTTTCTTTTCTTGCCTTCCTATCACGCTGGCATTACAAGCAAAGTAGCAAGCATTCTTGCTCCTCAGTTGGACCAGCTACCTGCATTTCTCCGGTCTCTTTATAACCCCTTTGTGCTACTGTGACTGTAAAATACAGGTGGGAGACAGATGGTAATACAGCATATCAATGATTTCTTATAGAGAGAGAGAGAAATGATTTTTTTTCCTGATAGTTCTGCCTAGACTTG